TCTCAGCAATTCATCGTGATCAAATATAGATGACTTTTAAAAAGTGATAAATTTCTAGCCCACCCAGAAAATCTTATTTCCGAATTTTTTTTAGAAAACGTAGAATCTTCTATTCACTCGAGACTTCCGAGAGCTTCCTTTTCGGAGTTCCTTTGGTTAAAAAAAAATTCAAGCTATCTTGGAAGTTTGTCTTATTTAGTAATATCCTGGATTGTAAATTTTACACACAATGGAATCGGACTGACATCAATTTTGAATTCAGACTCCGCTTTTACCAGCACAAAAAATTGCATGTCCATAAAAAATCGAAACGATTGTGGAAAATGTGGCAGCCGAAGTCATATTATAAGTCGATAAAAACATTTTTTTGATCGATATTAGGGGCTTCATTTTCAGCGATTTTTCGCTCCTACAGTAGTTTACTGCATTTCATGTCGTCATAAAATTATTTTTTTTTCACCGAATTCGGAAAGCAATTTCACACAGAATCTGGACTTTATTTTATGATTTCAAATTTACTCGGTTGATACACTTTCCGGATAATGAACTTCCCATTGGAATGGATCAAGTCTCATGAGTCAGGCGCAATATTATTGTCGCAGATACCCCAAATATTTCTGGCGATGCATACCTGCAGTGTATAAACCCTAGTCAGACCCAACGACTTCTCAATCCCATCCGGCAAATACGGATCGTAGAAGATGACGTTGAACCCGAAAGCCTTTGCTCGAAGGGCTACTGCGGAGCCGATTCTACCGAGTCCCACAATCCCTAGCGTGTCACCGCGGATCCGAGCCGATCCTTGTGCAGCATCTCGCACCTGTTCGGAACAATAGGACGAAAACATTAAGGAGGAACAAAAAACTTGTTTCTGGAATTTTGAAGACGGATAAAAGCCTTTTTAATCATTTCGAAAAACCTATTCCATCGGCACTCAACGAAGTTCCACAGTACTGTAGGTGTTGAAATTGCAAACATTTTCGATTGATGAGACTTGCAATTTCAGAGAGGAATTACAACTTAACAAGGAAAAAATAAAAGAGCATTACATTGCAATTCGGCATAACTGCGTTTCTCATCATCTTTACCGGAGTACCGCTATCAAACAGTACTGCAGTATTGCTGTAACTTTTTACGTAGAGTCTTCAATAGAAAATAGAACGCCTCATTATTTTTTACCCAAAGAAAATCTCTCGGGGAAAATTCGAGGGTTATTTGCTATGCTTTTCGACGACGTGAACGCAGGAAAGATAAAAAATTTTCCCTTCAACATTCGGTATAACACAATCAGAAGTTGGAATGCTGAAAACTCAAATTTCAACCAAGATCAAACTTCAAAGCATTCGAAGGCTTTTATCTGTCAATTTTTAGAACAGAAATTCAATGAAGAATGAAGTTTAAAAAATATTCTCCTGAATGCAGATTTGAGGACAAATTTTCGAATTGCTCGGCAAGAGAAGATTTGATACCCGTTTTTCCTTCCACTTAAACACGCGTTGCAGCAAGCAGAATTATTCTTGTGGGAAATTTGTCGGGGACGGGGCTTCGCTCAGGAATTTTTTTGGGGCCTTAAGATCTAACCAGATCATTTAAAAAAAAAAAAAAAGTACCGAATTTATTCTAGATCATGCTTCTCAAGTAAGACGTTCACTAGGGTTTTTTCAGTTGAAAATTTTGTTAAGAACCTAACCCCGATTAATACGTGCACCCAATTTTTAATTGACTAAAGCCACAATATTTCGAAAATCAGCACACCCAAATTCGAATTTAGACATGAAGTATTCATGAATTCGACTAATTTTCAATTCCCCCCCCCCCCCAGAAAAACAACTTCTCTGTCAAACTTGGTCCAACCTTTCCCATTGGTATCGAGTATAATCCCCACATGAACTTGTAAGACTTCTTGAAAAATGTATACCTGCCTGGGACACGCACCCCCTCTTTTCCAATCTAATTTGAGAAAAAAAGGTACGCATGGTACTCCAGTAAATCAAGCATTGTTTTCGGCCAGAGAGAAAAAGAGATCACGCCTTGTATAATGAATACAGGGAAATTCACCTGTTCGGGGCCAGTAAACTTCTTGCCATCCCGCACCATATTGGCAAGCCAGTACGTGCGCCGATAGAGGTTCAAAATTAGGCACATGGTCGAGTCCGCCACTTCTTCCACGCCGTAGCCAGGAACGTTGCACACGGCGATGCCCAGCTCGCCGGCCGCCTTCACGTCAACATTGTCCACCCCGCTGCCGATGCGCACGATGACCCGCAGGGCTTTAAATTTCTCCAAGTCTTCGCGTTGGAGAGAGATCGTGTGCCACATCAAAGCGCCGACAGCTTCGTTCAGAACCTTTACAAAGGACACGAAAGGCAAAGTCAAACAAGGATCATTGTTTGTATTAGGCCAACGTCCGAAAAAATTCACTCGACGATCAACCACTAACCACTTGTTTACCATTTCACATCAAACACAAGCGAACTTCGTCCTGGCGATTGACGAACAAGTAGCCCATCGCGTACGATATAGTCAATTAATTTTGAAAAAAGTCACCTCAAATCGATCCCAGAAGATATAGACAAGCTCACGCGCGAAACTGAGCCATAATTCCAGCACTACTGAGATAAACTACTTTCATTAAAATTCAAAACGCGATGATGTAAGTCTTCCTCGCGGCTTTCAGCAGAGATTTCAAAAGCCACTTTCTCAAGAATTTTTGGTTAATCGGAGGAAAAATCCCGCAATCGGTACGTGATCAATTCGAGAAATACAGGGTGTCGAAAAAGTTGCTGGACAATTAAAAGAAGTCAC